TGTCCAGACTGGTCGCCAGTCGTGGAAAACCGGGGGTGATGATAAGTGACAATGGCACTAATCATCAGTGGCTATTTAACCAACCCCCCCCCCCCCCCCCCCCCACCCCCCATCCCACCTGTACAGGATGCAAGTCTATCGCCGGGTTACCCCCGGCATTAAGTTCGAACATAATGCATATCTTACAGAGCTGGTTCCTGTCAAAAAATCAGGAAAAGAAAATCAGACTCGGCCAGCAATTAATCCCTGCAGAAAACCCATTTTCACGGTTAGGGTTAGGCTACCAAGTCAATAGAAATTCCCCTTAGGGCCTGTTTACAAGGAGGGAGGGCTACCCTAGCAAGCGGGTTAATCCTAGCTCGAGGGCAATAGATAGCTCGGGTTTACAAGCAAAATTTCACAGGCAGGGTAACCCTACAACCGGCCCTGGGACAACTTAATGCGCGGTTACACTAAAAGGGTATGGAAACAAGTAGAAATTTAACCCGGGTAGGCGGTTAAACCTACTTGGAGTGTTTACGAGGGAAAAATTTAACCCACCTACCCAGGTAACCCTAGCTGCCTTGTAAATTCGACGAAGAAAAAAAAACAGGAAATGTGTGAGTGCTAGGATAACCCACTTGCTAGGGTAACCCTCTCTTCTCGTAAACAGGCCCTTAGAAACGGACTTTCTCACAGAATAGGTTTGTCTGAACTAAAGACTTTGTTATACTGATTATGAATTGCAACTCCTGTGTCGTTTCATGCAGTCATCTTATCGCACATTTCCTTGACCGTCTGGAACACAGACGAAAGTTAAACAGTTATTATTCATTGAGTCATACATGTGTGTACAGCATACATTAAGAAAACAAACATGTACCAGCTAAACTGTGTAAGTGTGACTTACATCGAGGATGGAAACTGAAACACGAGGGAAAAAAAATGAAACGTGCCTATTGTGTAGCAATGACGGATGTCATTATACGCCAAAATAGGACTGTGCCACATGCCTCAGAATAGGTGATAGGGCTGGATAGGCTAAAGGGAATTACAAATTTCAGTATAACTGCTGCGGGCTGCAGATATTAAATATTTACTCGCTCAGTTTCTTTAATTCGATGCATGGTCTGTAGATATATCAAAAAGACTCCGTGGCCAGTCGAAATCGAAACCGTATCCTATGGTTCGAAAGTCTGATAACTCGCGCGTCACTTTTATTTTGAAGGAGACGCTGTTGTAACTGCCAGAGGCTAGAAATTTGAATTTCATTCTGATTTGAATTTGTCATCGAACGGTACGTACGTACAGTAAGTTTAACTTAATTTTTGAACTAAAGAACTAACGAAAACTGTTTTCTATTTAAGATAAACTATACCATGACATGAACCTAGAAATTAGTAACATTTTATAAAAAGTGCAATTGACCACTAAGAAGTATAAACTAGTCAAATTAACTGGTTAATATGTATTGAGATGTTGAGCATGGTAAACTATACCTTGCCATATACATTAGATAAAACTGGAGAAAAATATCTTTCCTGGAAGAGAGAAGAAAAAATTGATTCTGAAAAGATGGGTGGGCGCTGAACGGAAAATTCATATTTGACTCTCAGCTCTGACAGAAGTAACAAATTAAAAATGAGGTATTTGGGTTTCGTTGGTAGTAGAAAGCTATCTATGTTATAGTCCAGTATCTTGGTGTTAAAGCATGGAATAGAATATATCAACAAGGCTGTGATGATTCTTCTGTTATCTTGCAGACAAATTACCTTTTGTGTTCTGACGAGCTTAGCTTTAACAGGTTTTTGCTGTCATATTTTTCCTCACACTGCGAAACAGAAATAGTGGTGAGTACATGTTTGACTTGATGCAGGTTTCCTGTGACAGTATTCTAATAGACCTCGTTTTTGGTAAATATCCTCACCTATTAATCTAATGCTTATTCTACATACATACATACACACTTAAATGAACCTCCACAGTGCGGCTTTTGACTTTTACAATTAAGATTACATTGCAATTATTTCAAAAAGTAAAAAGGAGTAGTGAAGATTCCAAGAATTTTCTAAGCGCCTGTATTTCAAGGTGTTCTTAAAAATTGTCACAAATTTACAAAGTTTTAAAATCGTTTGTAAAGATTTCCAGACATCGACAGCTCTCCAGACAATAGTAATTTTAAATATAAGGCTGCTGTAAGGTTTATAAGGCTAAATTTTGTTGATCAAACGTTACATAATAGAATAGGTTCTACCAAAACAAATATATAGTACAAAAAAAAGTTGTGCTGAAATTGCTGGCAAAAGTAGTATAAAGTAAAAGATTCAGACTGCCCTCGTATAACTAATCGCAACTGGGCATTGTTATTTCTCATTTAGAAGATTTTCAACGCCACCAGTAATTCATTGTCATTTCACAGGAAGATTGGATTTCGTTCTGATCCGCACATCTCAAGTGACGGTTAGAAGAGTAAGTTTAAACCATGTTTTTATGACTATACGTATAAGGTTTAATTTGATTCAGATTGTAGAAATATGGAGTTACATATATGAAGGAAACGTTGCAAAGTCCAGTGCAGAAAAATATACTTTAGAAGGGATCGACTGAAATCCTCGGCTACTTTCAGTTTCATGCTCGCTGATCTTCGTCTGTGGTTTTTCTTTCTTGTGTTCATTTTATTAATTTTGTGACTGTCAGTTTGTCACGTCTGTCTTAGCCTCTAACTGGCAGCTACACGTGTTTATCTTCGCGTGAGGCCTACAGTTTGTGCTTCTTAATGGTGTGCGATTTCCAGATTTCCGTCTTATTTTTCTCTGTGAATTATGAGTTTTGCGTCTATCTATGTCTGTGATCAAGACTTTCAGTTTAGCGTATTCCTTTAGATCTGGGGCTTTCAGTTTTCTTGAGTTTATCGTGGTCGGTAAATTCCAATTCCAATTCCAGCTTATTTATGTTTCTTTGTGGATTTTAAGACATGTTTGTCTATCTTGGCCTGAAAGTTTCATTTTTTTAAGTAGGGTTTGTAGTAGTATCTCGTAATTGTGTAGCTCTGAAGTCAAAATTTCAAAATGTTCTTCTATGTAAGCGGAGTTTAATCACAGGCAAAACAGAGACTTTTTTATATAAATACGTGCATTGAATAAACTAGTGTTTTTTTTTTTTTTTTTTTTT